ATATATATATATATATATATATATATATATATATACATAGTCATACCTGTTTTGTCCATAATGGTAAAGATGGCCCCTCCACCCAAACCCATGCTCTGTGGGTTGACCAAACTAGTGCAGAGCAGAGCTGCGATGGCTGCATCCACCGCTGAGCCCCCCTCAAGCAGCATGTTCCTGCCAACAGAAGACATGTCTCATAAATTTAGCATTGGGTTACAACTAGTGCAATATTCGGTATACATAAAGTTCAAATGGCTAAATCTGCAAACTGCAATAATGAAAATTATAAGATGTATTTTTAATGAGGATTAAATTCTGTTCAACAAATAGACGACAATTCAAGGTATAATTTTTAGCATTAAAGCATTTAGCATATTTCAGTAATGAGAGTATAAGAGAAAATGACCTTCAATGTAAAAATGCAAACGTGTGTCAATATGAAAAATGAGAATCTTGAGGCAAGTCTGAGCTAGAGGAGAAGTGATATCCGAGAGCTCATTGAACCTTAAGGAGTTCCAGCCTTCTCTCTTACACACACACACACACGGGCAGAATTCAGAAAATTCTTGCTTTCTAGAAGATCAGTTTTTGCACTCTCATTTTTTTAACACTATATGGGTGGTTGTGTCTCTGCACGAAGCTGTGATTTTGGAATAATAGGGTAATACACCACAAAGAATGATCTCAAATGTCTGATTTTGCAGGATGTCCTGAACTGATGAAAGGAAATGTGAGATCCTTCAAAGGCAGGGATGGAATAAATCAAACATCTGAAACGTAAGAAAACTTCTTATAGAATGCCACAGTCTTTATATCAGTGTTAAGTGATACGACAATAACCATCAATCACATAATGATGTATAACTCATATTCATGATAATGAATAGTCCTTGAAAGCATATTATCAGATTGTGACGGTATGTGCATTTATGAAGTCAACAATGCTGTTAAGATGTCATTTCAGTTATTGTTAAATCTGAAAGTTGAGATTAAAGATTAGATCAGCGTTACAGTGTCAAGCGGTAATATTATATAGCTACTTTTACAACACAAAAGTCAAGAATGGAAATTCCCACAGGAAAAACATCACAAAGTTCCCTTTAAAGGGGTCATATGATTTAGCTAAAAAGAACATTATTTTGTAATGAAATGTGTTTATGCAGTTTAAGGTTAAAAAAACACATTCTTTTCCACATACTGTACATTATTGTTTCTCCTCTATGCCCCGCCTTTCTGAAATGCGTCGATTTTTACAAAGCTCATCGGTCTGAAAAGCGAGGTGTGCTCTGATTGGCCAGCTATCCAGTGCATTGTGATTGGCCGAATACCTCAAGCGTGTGACGGAAATGTTACGCCCCTTGCCATACTGTGATGGCGTGTCCTGGCCGGAGCGACGAGACAAAAACATTAAAACCCATTATAAACGAGGCAATTGTTGCATCCAGTGGGGACATAATTATGGTTTGTAATGACTTAAACGGTCTTTTTACGAAGATCTTCTTTATGCACCAAGAGCTTGTAACACTCCAAAGAGAAAGGAAAAATTTAAATCACATCATACGACCCCTTTAATATTTCAATTTTCTGCCCTAGATAGCAAAGAGAACAAATGGAAGGCAAATTCCATTCTTACAAATGCCAGTTATGGTCTGAACAAAATGAAGCCTTGTTGTTCCAGAACCTTCAACCTCCCTGTTCCTCACTACAAAAACGTTACAGTAGTTTGCTTATTTAAGTCTACATTAACAATCTATGCTTCAAACCACGAGAAGGTCAAAAGCTGTAGTCCCAACCAGTGTTGGGGTTAATGCATTACAAGTAACGCTAGTAGCCTAACTTTCTTCTCCTGCTTCATATTCTTCACGCAATTTGTTTGAGCTGCGCCCTCTACTGTACAGACATGAATTTACATTTCCTTTAGCCTGAGGTGTATTCATTTCACTTTTGGTGTAAAAGCGCTTTTACGTTTGTAAAATAACTTTTTTTTATTAAAAACAAGCAAGCAAGCCCTGCCCAGATTTAAAAAGTAAATCAAAAGTAACAGAACACATTACTAGTAACAGAACAACATAATTAGTTACTTTTTTAGGGAGTAACACAATATTGTAATGTATTACTTTTAAAAG